TATTAAAATTAATATAAAAGTTAATATTTAACCGTATTAAATTATATTTATAATTTATAGTAATTTAATTAGGTATTTGAAAAATATCTATAATATTCCTAAGGAATATCTACCGGACGTTTTAATTGGAGGTATTAAGGTTAAGGTTTATATAGTTACTATTAATATATAACCTAACCCTACAAAATCTCAATACAATTAAATTAATTATAAATAAATTTAAGATAGTATAAGGATTTAATAGCTTTTATAACTTTAAGTTAGGCTATAATTATCCTTATCCCTAGTAGGACTTTATACCCGGTTATTCCTAAGAAATATAAGGTAATAAGTTTTAATAGAGAATTGGATTTGGTTATTTAGGTTAGAAACGCCTTCTAGACTTATATATTGGATTTGTTTTTAATTTAGGATAAGTAGTAGGAGGATAAGTAAGAGATATAGTAGGAGAAATAGCCGGAGAATAAGTAGTAGGAGGATAAATAGGAAAAATAGTAGGAGGATAAGTAGGAGAAGTAGCCGGAGGATAAGTAGTAGGAGGATGAGTAGGAGAAATAGTAGGAGGATAAGTAGGAGAAGTAGCCGGAGGATGAGTAGTAAGAGGATAAATAGGAGAAATAGTAGGAGGATAAATAAAAAAAGCAGCCGGAGGATAAGTAGTAGGAGGATAAGTAGGAGAAATAGTAGGAGGATGAGTAGGAGAAATAGTTAGAAGATAAATAGTAAGAGGATAAGTAGGAGAAATAGTAGGAGGATAAATAGGAGAAGTAGCTGGAGGATGAGTAGTAAAAGGATAAATAGGAGAAATAGTAGGAGGATAAATAGGAGAAGTAGTTAGAAGATAAGTAGTAAGAGAATAAATAGGAGAAATAGTAGGAGGATAAATAGGAGAAGTAACTAGAGGATAAATAATAGGAGGATAAATAAAAGAAATAGTAGGAGGATGAGTAGGAGAAATAGTTGGAGGATAAATAGTAAGAGGATAAGTAAGAGATATAATAGGAAAAGTAGTAGGAAAATAAAGAAGATTCGGATTTAATAGATTTATAATTAGAATTTAAAAATAGAGGGGTATAAGGGAATTAGTAAAATAATAAGGCGGAGAAAAAGGTAGATAATTTAATATAAATACCCTTTTAGAAGAACGGGAATATAAATTTCCTAATTATATTTCTAATATATCCCTAATATATTATTAATAATTTTTAAATTAATATTTAATAGATAAAGAAAATATATAAATAATATTATAATATATATTCTTCTATTCTATTTATTTATATATTATATAAGGCGGTTAAATATAGTTATAAGTTTTTAAAATATATTTTATAGAGTTTATATTAATTATAAATTTATTATAGGCCCTCCCCCTATCTATTACGGTAATAGTAGTAAAGGTTGGGGTTATATTATTTAGGACGAATTCTATTATAATATAAATAAGCCTATAAAAATTATAATTTCTTTATTTAAAGTTTAAGCCTAGTAATTATAGTTAAAGTATTGGAATTAATAATAGTAGGGATAATTAAAATAAATTAGAAATAACTTAAGGATAAATTAGATTACCTTTAGGTTATTTAATCCCTAGCTATATTTATAGTGTTCTATCGGTATTAGGTCCTTCTATAAATAATTATTTCTCTATAGGGAAAATCTTCTACGGGCGATTAGGGATCTTTCTCCGCGGGGAAACTTCTACGTGTACATTGTTCTTCGTATAGGTAGAAGTATTAATAGTATTGAATTTAATTTCGTTTATAATAGTATCGCCGAAATATTGTATAAAAGGAGACTACAAGTAGTATACCTCGGCCTTATAAGGAGAAATAATCTTACTTAATATTATTATTAAAGTGACTTTGTACGAATACGTTTTACAATAATTGTATCAATTTTTCATTTTAGTAGGTCGGACCAATTTTCTATATAAATGCACGGACCACTGGGTCAGGAAGCTTTGGGTATGGGGTCGGGTCATCTGATACCTTATAGGAAAGTAAATAATAGGGAGAACCTGAGTGGTCGATGGAGTCTGGATTTTCTGAGTGGTACGCACGGGCCACACAGCCTCTAAACTCACCCCTGATCTTGACTCGTTTTACAAGTACCTAGCGACAAAACTCCTCGTAGGGTTCAGGTTGAAACGTCAATATATTGTAGAAGAACGGTCTTGTCATCCATCTTACATCATCAAGAAAATGTGAATTGATTCAAGCCTCTATATACCCATCATGATTAAGACAAGGCTGATAGTGCCCATATATGTCTGACCACCTCCCGATGCATGACATTTCAACAACTCAGGATAAATACAAACAGCTGGTTGATTATTTGTATATTAAGAAAAGGGTATCCATGATGATATCTACTGGCTCTTCTGGCTAGGGCCGGTAGCCCGCCACACTCCCCAGCATAGTAATGACGTTCGTATAATAAGGCAAGGTGCAGGAGCGAACAAGGCAGTAATGGCGCGATCACTGTCTGCTCTTGGGCTTTTCAACCGCCTTCATAGCCACACATTTCTCCAGTTGCTCGATCCATCTCCTCGCGAACTCCTCCTCAGTGAAGCGTTTCGCCGACTTGCGGGCCCTCAACCGGACAGCGTACGGGTTAGGCAAGGACAAAGCCTTCTCGAAGCCCTCTGCGAATTCCTTGGAGGTCGTGGCGTGGAAGCCTTTACATTCGTTAGTCAAACTCGGCCCGAGAAAGGAGTAAAAAGTGCAAAACTCACCAGTAGGTTCTCCATCGACCTCGACAACGATATCCAGCTTAGGTCCACCACTGTCATGCACCACCGAGATCAACCCAGCAGCCTGATACTCCACCACTCCGATGCCAAAGTGCTCGTTCCACATGCCATTAACGCCTACGCTTGCGCGCCTCAACCACTCCAGGATATCCGGCCACGACGCATCCAGATGGAACTCAACCCGGTCCTTGATATGCAGCTCGTTGACCAGCAGCCGTAGCTTGTAGACCCTCTTCGAGTCGTAATCATCCCTTACACTGCCGACCAGGATCAACTTGGCGTCCCTCGCCGCTTCCGATCCGCTCTTCAAGAATTCCGCAAACGCCTGCACAATGAGTTGGTGGTTCTTCTCTGGCCTGAACTGCGCAATGTACAGCAGCACATTCTCTCTCCGCTTCTCGCTTTCCGGGGAAACCTCAACCTCCTGCTCCAGCTCCTCGACGGCCACGGGCGGGTAGACCACGGCGATGGGGTTGACCTTGGACTTGATACCGGGCACCGCGCCCGTCAGATTGCGCACAGGTCCCCATAGCTTCTCGATGTGCGCCTGCGTCCAGGTCGAATTGGTCATTACCACGTCCACGGACGCGCCCATGAGCGAGTACAACCGTGCGAACAGCTGCCAGTAGACCTTCTTGGCGCGGCCCTTGGCACCAGTGCCCTTGCCGGCGTTGACGCCCTGGCTGCCGACGGTGGAGGCCGGGTCGAGTGACTCGAGCATGTCGGTCGAGATGGTTGGGTAGTGCACGTAGGCGGCTGTGGGCACGTCGCGGAAGAGGAAGCGGGAGAAACCGAGAGCGAAGGCGTAGCCCATAGTGTCGACGAAGATGTCGGGCACGAGCAGGGAGAAGGCGTCCCAGGCCATGATAAGAGAGCCAAAGGACTGGCCGGCGAGGGTGAAGTAGGGCCATGTGGAGGCGAGAACCCATCGCCGGGTAGACAGGTAGAGGAAGTTGACGGTGGGCGGGTGGAGGTGGATGTTGAAGCGTTGCTGTTGAAGTGAAGAGGTCAGCTAGACACTTGCGATTGCGCTTGAAGCGGTACAGTTGAGCACTTCTCTCACCTCTACTCTGGAGAGGATAGCCTCCTTGCTAACATCGTGATCACCCGTATAGACAACACACTTGGCTTTGGGCCAGCGTTTCTGCGTGGCCCGAATAGCAGCCCAAAGGACCCTCTCTCCGCCTCCGCCGGCATTGCTGCGTCTGGTGTTAGTGCCAGATATGTAACAGGAAGAGATCCCCTAAGGACAACTCACCAAAAGGGGTGGAAGAAGCCCACGATGCCATCCCAATCCTTATCGTAGACCTTGCCGTCCGATGTGCCGGTAGCTTCGGTGTTGTTGAAGGTGTCCCGATCCTCTTTCTCCTCTTTTCGGCCCTTTGCGCTCTTGGCGTCCCGATATTTCCTTTCGTCGGCCTCCACCACCTCGAGAATGTGGCAGCGTCGGCCGTCTGTCTTCCTACGCAAGTACCATCCCAGCGAGGAACCGACCAGTCGCCATATGAAGGGGATCAACAGGGCGAGAAGCGGGCCGATAGTAAACAAGGAGATGGCAACGTATGTGAAGAGGCCGTTCGCCATGCCTGAAGCGTTGTGTATGCGTGGTTTCTGTATTGTTATGCCGGTTCTATGTATTGGTATTTGAGCGCTATGCGCCGTTGCTTGGGGAACTTTGGTAGATTGTCCAGAGCTTTGGGTTATCTAGGCGCGAATCGAACGGGCGTTTGTTGGAGCAGCTCTAGCAAAATGGCCCAGGGATAGAAGAGAGGTCATATAGTACAGAGAACAGAAAGGGATGAACGGCTAAACGAAGGACTATGAAGTTAAATCGCCGCGACATCCCAAAGCCGACTACTGAACTGAACAGGAGTCTGGACGGGTTTGCTGGGCGGATGATAACGTTTGACGGGGTGATGGAGGTCGAATGATCTGGCCTTGTGTTTTGGGTTCAGGTCCCTCCACCACCACCATGACTGATTATGTACTATCGCGGCAGCTACGGTATTTGCGGGGGTGTTTGATAGTGCAAGCGGGCGCCATTCAGGGGTCTGCGTCGAGCTCTGACGTAGGGAACACTGTGCACCAGGAGCAATGTGCAAGCTCACAATCAGTCGCCAAGTGTCAGCTGAAGCCTACAATTGGTCAGATGAGTATAGAGCACGGACTTCATGTTTGATCTTGGCATAGTTATGCTTGGGACCCTGGCATAGAGCCGGCAGGCACGATTTCATTCATTTTGAATGTTTATCGGGAATGTCTCACCAATCGATGAATTCCAAGAGGATCCTCTGAATGTCTAAGTGAACTTCAGGGTTCACCGGGAACAACATCTCATCTCAGTTGTTCAGCAGTAAAGTGCTGAAAAGAGAGAGGTTGGAAGGAAAGGGTGATTCAAGTTGGATGGATAATATGATACCCTAACTTTTTTTTTTTTCTTCTCTTCTTTCTACCCTGTCTCACTCATCACCAGCTCCCAGCTCATTATGGCTGCTTTCGGAGGACGTACAGTCGGCGGTTTGAGCATGAGCTCGCTGGCCCGGCATGGGCTTTCCACCACATCGAGCTCAGTTCGACCACTGGGCTTCACAGCAGCCACCCAAATACGTCACAGGAGGAATAGTCCAGCCTCATCGGTTCCCTCACAACGACGAACCTTCGTCAACGAAGCCGTCACCACTGTCGAGCAGCTCCTCCTCGCCGCCCAAGCCAACCTGCACATCCCATGGTACATCCTCATCCCCGGCTTCGGCGCGACCATCAGCCTCATCTTCCGCGTTCCCGCGGCCAAATACACCCAGCGGCTCGCCCAGCGCCGGGCCCTGCTCAAGCCCATTCTGATGGCATGGGGCCGGAAGCACTACCAGGAAGTCAACTACGCGAAGCAGGCCGATCCCGTCAAGCACGACTTTCACCCGCCCACCGAGATCATGAAGCGGATGGAGAAGACGAGCAAAAGGTTACTGAAAGAGTGGGGCGTGCAGCCATGGAAGCAGTTTGTGCCGTTTTTGGCCTTTCCCGGCTGGCTGGTGGGTATCGAGGCTTTGAGGAGGTTGTGTGGCGGACCGGTTGGTCTGTTGGGTATGTTTTTGGGAGCTAATAAGGATGGGAAGGCGGCGGCGGAGGCGGCCTCGAAGGCGGCGGAAACCACACAACAAGCAGTGCCACAAGCAACTGAAGCGGCCACGAACGCTACCCAGGCCGTCACGGAAGCAACCATCACCACCACCCCCGTCGCCGACACCGTTGTCAACCCCCTAGCCAACATCCTCCCGGAATCCCTCTCCAGCTATTTCCAAAATACCCTCCCCACCACCATGGAGGGCTGCCTCTGGTTCCCCGACCTCATGGCCGCCGACCCTCTGCACATTCTCCCCTTCATTCTTTCCTTCACCATGTTCGTCAACGTAATGCCTCGCAATTCAGAAGGGTGGTTGCGTCTCCTCAACCCCGGGACGGAGGACGTCAACCCAAACAACATTGGCGAGCACGCATCCAAGATCAAGCAGCAAAAATCCGTAGGACTTAGGATGCAGCGGGCGCTGCTGCTGTTGACGCTGATCGTTGGGCCCGCCACCATCAACTTGCCGGCGGCGCTGCACCTGTACTGGATCACGACGAGTCTGACGAGCAACGCGATCACGAGCGTGGTAGCGGCCAAGATGCCGTTGCCGCCGTATCTGGGACCGGCCAAGGGGAGGGGAGATGATCCGTATGTGAGACCGAAGCTGCCGGGGCTGGATTGGGAGCCGAATCACACGGCCGTAAAGAAGGTGATCTCGCGGGCCATGTCACAGGATGGAGCATAACGGATTTTGTACTGTATGTATGTAGTTGTATGAGACGTAAGATACCTATGGATGGATGATAGATAGACTGGCCGCCTAGAGAGACCAGATGGAAACTGTATAACCAATAAGAGCGAAAAGAATGTAAGAACTCCGAAAACGCCTTTCCCCTGTCTTTGATCCCTTCCAGGCGTCTTTGCAATAACGAAATCAACAACAGCAGCAGCAACAGAAACAACAAAACCAACCATTACAGGATTACCCTGTCCTCCGAGCCATTCCCTTCCGTTTCATCATCAAAACATCATCAACAATCATATCCTTACTGTGTCCCGTCTTTCCGCATCCTGCACTCGTTTTTCGTACCATACCATATGGTGTCCCACCCATTTAGCCCAAGAACACCGCCAACAAAACAATCGTCAAGATAACGCTCAAAATCAGCAACAAACAGCACGCCTTGCCTCTCGCATTCTTCTGATACCTCGCCGCACTCCTCAACTCCCTATCCGCCCCCGCCGTATCATCCCTTACATTCTCCACATTATTCGCGATCGTATCCAACATCTCGCCCTGCTCGCTGACGATCTGAGCCACCTGCTGGAACAGTACATTCAAGTCGCCAACACCCTGCTCGATATTGCGAATCTCCTCCTCGCGCTCGAGAATGAGCGCATCCTGGAAATCGACATCGGATTGCGACGCGAGGTGGGTGAGTTCTTGCTCCTGATACTGCAGCAGCTGGGGTTCCCCGGACTCGAGCACGGGGTGCGAAGAGTGCGAAGGGTCGGTGGCGTCGATCACGGAGCGGGCGGCAGTTACTGAGGCTTTTTGCTTGTCGAGGGCGGTGCGTTGAAGGGATTGGAATTCGGAGAGGGAAGATTGAAATTCGCGCGAGAGTTTTTGTTGCATGTATTTTTGGGTCGGCTAGTTTTTTTGGTATGGCGTGTTAGTCTACGGTCCGGCGCTTGGCAATGGAGGGGACGAGGAGTGGTGATAAGGAAGAGAGTGAATAGTAACGTACAGTGACATCTTCCCAGGTTTGCACCTTCTTGACGCCCCCGCCGACTTCCTTGAATAGATCGCGCGACTCCTCAATCAGCTCGTGGACTCGTTCCCGAACCCGTGGAGTATCGCGCCGCGTGCCGAGATGGCCGACCTCGCCTTGGAGTCGCTGGTTGTTGCCGTTAAGCTTGAAGAGCTTATTCATCAAATCTTGGGAGAGACGCTGGAACTCGGGGTCATCGGTATACTGGCTGCCACCGGTATTGCGACGGCGCCCCGCCTCAAGGGAGGAGAGCTGGTCGAATGACATGGTTGCTGGTGGTTGTGGTTGTGGTTGTGATAGTAGATAGTTTGGCTTATCGGTGCCTGATGCGATGCGCAGGGTAGTGATTGTCGTCGATACGATGGAATGTGGTATGTATAAATATGCTGTTCAGTTCTTCAAGCAAGAGGGAGCTGAGATGAGGCCCTTCGGAAAACGAGCGATCAGTCGGTGCCTGTTTTGTTGGTGATGTTTTTGTCAACAGGCGGTGGTGGTCCGAGGTTCCCTTGGGTGGATGGTTGTAGGTTGAAGCGAACCTAAGGTGACTTGTGACTTGTGATCTGGGACGACAATGGGTCGCAAGTGGTTTCAGTTCCAAGCATTGGATTGCGTTATCCAGGCGAGCCAGGACACCACCAGTCGCTGTCCCTCAGTGGCTGCTGTGCGCTGTTAGCATCCACTGTCAGTTTTGAGGGAACTTCCATCCCTGCCGTCCTGCCGCTCCAAAGCTTCGGCTTGGCTTGTTGGAGACGTAATGGGGGATCTTGACCAATCATGCTACCTCTAGCTTGTGTGGATCCAAGAAGAGTGACAGGCTGACGACAGCGCGTCCCCTCGTGTTTTGGGGACGGGAACTGGAAGCTTCAGTCCAGCGCGGCAGGCAGGCCCACCCCGTTTTTTTATTTACAACCAACTCAACACCTCGTATCAAACCCGAAGCTGCCTCAAGATCCAAATCGGGCTCGACCTCAGCTCAATTTCGACGAGGACCAATTTCACCTCCCCGCCCTCCCTCTCACGCGCAACACGTCTTCCAGACACCATCCACAGGCAAACAACTAACGACGGCGGGACTGTCGACAATGTGCTGTGAAGATGGCGTCCGCATCTGTTAGACGACCGCCCTACAAGGACTTCCTCCAGCCTGCACTCCATCGCCGTTTTAGTACCACGGCCTTGATCCTGCTCGTTATCGCATATGTCTATGCCATTGGCCTGGCCAGATGGAACTCTTGTAAGCTAGCTCCCTACCTTCTACTACCTGACGCGAACCAACTGACCATGCTGCTCTCCATCTAGTCCTCTGGTCTTGGTTTCCCATCGGCCCAACTGGCTTTCGCGCCGCCTTTTTCTGGTTCTCCGGCTCGCTCATCCTCATCCTGCGCATCGCACAATACCATCCCGGCTACCGAACATCCGACTCGGCTTTCGATACCTTCCTCAAGCATTGGCGCAACTTCTCGACCCTGGAGACCATCTTGACGTATGCCTTCTCTGCCTGGCTCTTTGCCCAGGTCTACCTACTCTCCCAGCCTAAGGACTCTGGGTTGGAATGGGTGACCTACTTGTCGTACGATAGACAGAGGCTGAACGAGAAGGCTGTCTTTTTTACCACCCATCTTGTGATTCTCGGCGTCTACCAGGCCATCAGACATCTGTATTTGGACATTGACCGGCTCCTCTTGGGTGTCGCTAAGCCCTCAGAGAAGGCCGTCCGAAACAACAACAGTGATGTCGGCACCCTTATGAAGAAGTTCTGGGGTGAGATGCCTATCATTTTCTTGCAGTCACTCAATCAAACGCTTGCCAGCCTGATATTGACTCTCGTCATCTACCCGTTCCTGCGCAAGGCGGTCTGGCGGCTGTCGCTCTTCTTCTTTCGCCCATTCTTCAACCTTCCAAAGACGAACTATGTGCCATATTCGTGGCCCGTCTCCTTCAAGAGCGCCACTTCGATGGTCTTGGCTAGCACCATGCTCCTGATCGTTTGGATTGCTGGTAACACTGCGTTCACCATGTTCATGGTCAAGGAACCGACCAAGGATCAACGCCCTTTCACCTCGGGGTCCAAGGATCCCAATGGCAGTCTCTTGAACGGACTCAGGCACAGAAAGTTGTTTTACAAGGTATGTTCGCTTTAATCGTCCACATTGTCACGTACCTGATTGCTAATGATCAAGCAAGTGCTTCGCCATGTGGGAGCTGGCTCTGATTGCGCGCGATTTCCCGGAGAGACGCAAAGCCATCTACGAAGACCTCGACCGAAAGGACGGACCGGCGTGGTCGCAGGTCTGCTCCATTTGTCTCGAGGTTCTGAAGAGCCTTGAGACGAACATTGGCAATTATGGAAAGGCTCCTGAGCCTGTGGCTGCTCCAGAAGTACAGCCTGTTGAGGAAAAGGTTCGAACTGCTCCACCTCCAAAGGAGGAACCCATCTTTCTGGGAGGCCCTGCCAGGAGGCGGAACTTCCTGTCTGAGGTTGAGAAGACGGTTGTTGAGGTTGCCGTTGCTCCTGGTCAAGGATCTCCCCTCAAGCCATTTGCGAAGAGGGTCGTAGATGCGGCCAAGCATCAACTCCTGGAGATCCAAAAGGCCGTCACGGGAACCGACGATACCGCCAGCCTCATCAGGAGTTGGGCTCTGAAGGGACTCCACAAGTGGGTGGGGATTCCATTCCGCAAGGAGTACCGGAGAAGGATGCTCCATGCAGTTCTCGGAAGCCCTTACGGCGAGCCCAGTCTCTACATCAACGCAGCCTACGCCCTCAGCATGCTCACAAGCCACAGTCTGCAGGAGGACAAGTACGGCAACGTGCAGAGGGATATCGCGACGATTATCCGGACATTGACGAATATGACCAAGAAGCTGGACAGATTCAAGGAAGGGTTCGAGGTTCACTGGACGGATGTTGAGGGTATCAAGGAGTGCCCTGAGGTGGATGCTATTCTGGAGGCCTTGAGGGAAGCTTTGACCACGCTCATTGTCGAGTTTGGTCCGTATGCGCGGGATTTGAGGCTGACGTTGACGGATATGCGCTTGGCCAGGGAGGCTGCGAATTTTCCGGAGCCGCAGCCGAGGGCGGACCATCTACTAGACCTGAACCAGTGGAAGAGGTGATGAAGATATTGTGATGACTGGAGCATATTTCTTGTATGAGTAAGCACACACACACACACGGAGTAGGGAGGTTTTGCTTAAAAGGAAAAATAGGGAGAAAAGCAGCATGGCTTTGTTTTCGGCGGCATGTTATGGATTGTTTTATGTTGTATGACACTACCTCAATGAGCGTACGGTAGTGGTGCTACATAAGGTACAAACAGATTGTTTACTTGCAGCGATGTCCCCCCTGTGCTCCCCTGAACGGTCAAGCCGTGCAGGGGCTCGGTACGTAATGGTGCGGCAGTGCAGGGATGGGCGAGCCGGCGGGAAATGAGGTCACACGTGCCATGATCCACGGGCTTTAACCCAACTCGATAGTTCCGTTCGCTGTCTTGGTCCAGTTCCTGCATCTTTTCAAGGTTCTCCTTTGTTGGCGGGCGTGGCCTCCGCTGCCGAGTTTATTTATTATTTAGCTTCTTGCTCGACTTTTCGACCTAACATAGGCATCGCAACTCCTCCAATGTCCTAATCAATCTGATAACCGGCAACTATCTCCCTTGAATTGCGGCTCTTTTCCTCCGGTCTCGAATCATCGCATTCCAACCTATCCCGCGCCGCCATGACACTCCCCGACGCCCAACATTTTTCTGTCGCAAGTTACGAGCTCCATCTGGAACCAGCGGCAGCTTCGACCTCAACAACGGTCAGCTGTGATTGCTTCCCTACGTTTGCCTCTTTTGGCAAGTGATTTGAATATCCAGCTGCGACCTCGACAACATCACACTAAAGAATGAAGTCGGCCGTGTCTACCATTGCCCACTACCTCTACAAACTTGTCTACTATTTCATCTATCTCGTCCTTCTCGCTTTTCTCATTGTCAGTCCTATCGACTTAATCCGCCAGGCGATCATCACGAAGCAGAACTACAGCATCCTCATTGTTGCGCTCTGCTACCTTGTCACCATTCTCATCATTGTCTTTATCTACGCCACCCGACTGTACTACAACAAAGCGGTGCTCGACTCGATACCCAAATCATGGGTCCCTATAGAGAAGGGCGACGTGCCTCGCGATGTCAGACAGTTGATTGTCGCCGGTCTCAGCAGGAGTGCCGCCATTGCGTATGAAGCGAGACCAAGGTTGCCTTTGCCTCCGACTCCAGCTGCTCCCGGTTCTGGGCCAACTTCTGTCCCTGCAACAGCAAATGTGCCGCACCCTACATCGCAAAGGCAAGAGGTGGAAAGAAATAATGATGAAGGGGAAGATGAAGAACCACA